AACATGCACACTTTTCGGCGCAGTGCTCCGTTCAGTGCCGCTACTCTGGCGGCACGGTGGCCCGTTCAACGGTGTCACTCCGACGGAGCACACTGCCGTAGCGAAAGGGTTAATAAAATGATGTATAATCTCGTTTTTAACCCAGCTTAATACGACTTTCTTGGACTTAAAGGACTTTAACGATTAAAATTAATAAAAGAATACGGTCAGGTACCATCCAATACATTCGAAGGGTAAATTACCCTTTGGGTTCAAAGGAATGTGATTCGTAGAATATAAGACAATGGAGTTAGCTGTCCTCGTACCTAGTGCGTAGCCGCGAGTGGTAACGCCGCGCGAGCGAGCAGGATGCAATGCCAGGTTTTCAACCACTATGTGTAAGTAATATTTCATTCTCTCATCTTTAAGAACTACAGTTGCAATGTAAAATACAAACACGGTTACGTTCAGTTTTTACATTAATTCAATGTAAATGTAAAACAATCATCGAATCGTGTAGACGGATTACATTGTTTCATATTTAGATTCAATTAATGTAAAAACTGAACGTAACCGTGTTTGAACCCAAGAGATAATTTACCCTTCGAATGTATCGGATGGTACCTGATCGTATTCTTTTATTAATTTTAATCGTTAAAGTCCGTTAAGTCCAAGAAAGTCGTACAAAGCTGGTTTTAAAACGAGATGATACATCTTTTCATTAAAGGGTCGTTACAACCCTTAAAATTCGTTTTTCGAAAAAAAAACAAAATATGCTTTTTTGTATTGTTCTGGTCTATAAATTAACCAAGTTTCATTTGGATAGAGCAATTACTGCTCGCGTAAGGGGCAAAAGAAGTATTCAAAGGGGCGGCCCACCCCTTAAAAATTATTTTTTTTTTTAAATTCAAAATGCTTGTTACATAATTCTTCATTCCCTACAGTTTGACGGCTGTTCATGAAAATCGGTCGAGTGCTTCTATGTGAAACAGCCAACTCACCCCCTTGCACGGCCAACTTTGAAGCCTGATTTCACCCCCTAAAAGTGTTTATCCGCCGATAAAAAAAAAACACGGCTACCTCAGATTTTAGTCCTCTATAACATATTTAAAAATACACAAAATCGGAGGGGGACACCTCAGGTGCCTTCCTTGTTAGTCGACCTTTAAGCTGATGTGAAAGGTGTTACGTGATGGCCGAGCGAATGCGAGGCCGGGGAAATTCGAGTAGGGATTGCTCAGAATTCTCGCGTAAGGAATTTATTATTTTGTGAGGAGAAGACCCGAGCGGCTAGATTAACTCCTCTGGTGGGATCTGTGGGAAATGAGGACCGGGGGAGGGTCTTAATGAATGACAATGTGGTCAAATATGATATGACTACTGTATTTGTCGGTCAGCAACGGTTCGTTACAATCAGCTGCGAGGCAGTCAAAGGTGTCTCGACCAAATTTCCTCTGGATTTTCCCTACTTCGCATCGCGGATGTTCGGGTGTCATGGTAGCGTGCTTTAGGGGCGGTAGGTCGCTGAATGCGTGGAGTGCTGACGCGGGGATTCTTCGTTGCTTGAATGGCGGGCTACGCGTGAATTTGATCTATCTGATGCTGAGATTTCGAGCTCAGCTGTTCGAGGCAGAAGTCAATGCAGTATTATTCTACCCGGTTAACCGGAACTAGGCATGGAATTCGCGATAGTAGTTAATATACGATTCTATTGGAGATGGGGTTAGCGGAGTAAGATCAAATAGAAAGGAAGATGGATCGAGTTTGCGAAAAATCCTCTACCTAGCTTGATCAACGGGCAAATTCGTTGACACTCTCCTTTGATCGACCTAGCCGGATTACTGCGCGTGAACACCTTCGGCCCATGGCGTGACCTAGGGTTGGAGATCTAGAAGCCTCCTGTCCAACGGAAGTCACAGTGCTGCTGTCTCTTCCTGGCTTGGTACGCATGGGTCGCAGGAGTACCGGATAGCACTACTGCAGGTGACCTTCAGCAGGGAGTCCGGCGGTGTCGGTCTCTAACTCGGTAGGAACGGAGTACCGAAAACCAGGAGCTCCACTCAGGATCGTCGACTAACGTTGACGGTGCTTAATTTGTGGCACAAGGCTCTGCTAGTTTGCCGATTGTTGATTTTATTGGCAGGGTGTTCCGAGTGATGGGAGGTCCTAGGGCCCAGGTGAGAGTGTCGTTTCTGGGGCCTGCTGATGCGCTGTATAATCATCAGATTGCTGGCCCCAGGTCGATTAGTGACTTTTGGGGTCGTCTTAGCCGATGAACTTGTACAGTGGCGGACATGAATGCGTTCCTTGCTGATATGATGTCGCGAATGCATGATGGAAGGCATTCATGTCCATCCGTGTACTAGGTAGCCTGATTTCGGAGTCATTCGCAAGTGTTTCCTAATCGCGTGCCGGTACTCGGATTTCCATGGCTAGCTTCTGGTGAGCGGACTACGTTTTTCCCTAGATTCGAGGGTACGAAGGGTGCCTACGTAACAAAGGCGATGTCAGATGCGCGGATAAACTTTTTTAAAAGATGATTTAACTGATTCGTCTGAAATTTGAACACATGTTTAAGGAGGTACTAAAATCGGTCCTGACCATTAAAGGCTTTTTCAAAAAAAGTTTCTATTTAATATAGACCAAAATTAAGTAGCATGTTTGGGATTATTCACGTCCAGACGGCTCGAAAGTAATAATTGAGAGTGTCAGGAATCATGCTCAATCATTTGAAACATGATAGTCTCAAAAAGTTATACATTGGAACCCGAAAAAGAGGAAAAAAGTTTATCTCCGAATTTCAGGTGTGCGATGCAGGTAACCGTGCATTGCTGCTGCCCTGGAAGCAAAAAATTAACCAGCTAAGTGTGTCGACCTATTGGAAACGTGTGTTTTCATGACGAGTATACTCGTCAAACACAGCTAACTGGTTAATTGCCGCTGAAACAGCAAATACCACTATTGTGTTGATTAGGCTATCAAAAATAATGAACCCAGATAATTTCTTGAGTTTTACTTCGATCTCTGCAGAGTCGTTCTATTGGAATGGCTTATGGAGGATGCTGTTTCATATAATTTGTAATCTGCTACAGAGTGCTGTAGATAATAATATAAATTTCGTGAAAATAACGCAGTACGCAAATTCAGGTAGTATATTAAAATTCTTATTTACCGACGTCGATTAAATATCTCGACACCTTTCACATCGCCATAATCTCAATTACAACACGCAACTTAAGAGATTCTTAATTGTACATAGTGATTACTATAAGAAAAGAGACTACCGAAGTATGGTTGAACCTAATCGAAAAATCGAAATTCCTTGAGAAGGAGCGTCTCGGGTGATGTTCTGAGTCCACCGAAATTCTGAGTTGAACTATTTTTTGAGGAAGACGCTTCTTCAGCGTTTCGATTTCGGGATGAGAATAGACAACGTTGCCCGAGTTGTTTTCGGGAATTTAGCAGAAGTACGGCCATAAATTCCCAAATTTCCATAGAATTTAGTCACGTCTCTCTCGTCAGATAGTACGGAGTACGGAGGATTTCATTGCACTTAAGGTGAAGTGAAACCCTCTTCAAATCAGTCGATTCGAATACAACACTTTTTTTTAAGGGTATTAGACCAAACTGTCCGAAACTTTGATACATCACTCCTGATCATCTAAGAATTGTCCTGACGCATTCAAAATTTGTATTTTTTAACAAAATTTTTTAACTCAGCCCAGACCAGAACCAAAATGGCGCCGAGTTCACGTATTTCGATTAATATATAATTATCGAAGGCCCTGATATGAGAATCGAAAGGGTCAGGACAATTTTATGACAATTTAGAACACTCTGGTAATCGAGAAACTCGCATTTGAACGGGATAAAGGCAAAAAAAGCGTTGTATGCTCTTCTATGCCAAAACGATGGTAATACGAGGTCTCGGAGTGAAAATTTAATTGACCTGGAAATCACAGATGGCGCAGGGGGTCCCTCTGTAGTCAATTAGGGCCCCAAAAAGCATGAATCCAGAGGATTTCTGGAGTTTTACTTCAATTTCTTTATAATTATTGTACGAAAACGACAGGTGGAGTATACCATTTGGTACAATACCCAATATAATTCGATACAGCTCTCAATATAAAAACGAACGTCGGTAACGTAGATATTTAGAAAAATCTTTATCGACTTCGATCGAGTTCCTCGAAGTGTTTCACTTCACCTTAATTCTTGTAGACTCTCACTGATTAACGTCGAGATTTGGAGACTGTTTATAGCCATCTTTACCCGAAAAAAAGAGCAACATTTTCTTGAAAGAATTTGGGCGATCCAGATGACGGATTTTTTTTCTCTGGGCTCAATGGAGGTCATTCTAAACAACATTAATATCTGAAATTTAATGTGTAACATATTCAAACGTTAGTAAAAAAAGCTCTAACTAATCGAGATGTGTATATAATGTTCAAATGTTTTTTTTTCTTACGTAAGATATTTTGTTTAAATAACGATTTTTTACTTAAAAAAATTTTGGTTTCCTTTTTTCTTAAGAGTAAATTTGTTACTTTTGAAACAAGAGAGCAGAGTGGTTTGCAACCGATTCATTGATTTAATATCACTTAGTTGTCTGTTATAACTCGAATGAGGCACTCATAATTGATTGTTAGTGCCATTCTTGATTAGACATTCTTATTTTATTGGCCTAAAAGCAACAGTGTTTAAATAACAGTTTGCATTAAGTGTAGTAACAATTTAATTTACATCGCTACCAATCATGGCACTTGCATGACATGCAAATCTTAAAACAGATGCTTAGATTCAACCGCAATTTGTAAGATCAACTACAATTACAAAAACTATTAACTTTGATAAGCAGTATAAGTGTCAATAATATTGGATATTGTTGGGGTTGAGATATTGAAGTATACCTGATATTTATGTGTATTGTTTTTTCAAAGATGGAATATATAATAATGGTAAAGAATCGTTAAAATAGTACATGATGACGCTTTAATTTACTTGGTAATGATTGTTTGCAGGTGAGCAGTGATCTGTTTACGCGCGGTATCGATGTTCAGGCCGTGAACGTTGTAATCAACTTCGATTTTCCGAAGATGGCAGAGACGTATCTGCATCGTATCGGTCGTTCGGGCAGATTTGGTCATTTGGGTATCGCAATTAACTTAATCACCTATGAAGACCGCTTCAATCTGCACCGTATCGAGCAGGAGCTCGGTACCGAAATCAAGCCGATACCAAAAGTAATAGACCCGAGCCTGTATGTGGCGAGACCGGAGGACAATAACAGCATGGATGAAGGCAACGTGTCCAAGTAGCTTCGAATCAATCAATGCTTGAACTTATTTTCGCCATCGACCTCGACGAGGCTCGGTTGGGGAAAAAGACAAAGAAAAAGTGATTCTGTGACTCGTATAAAAAAACGAGTTTGCGCGTCTAGACGCTTAGAATTCGCTAAGAGTGTTAAAAAGACTCGATTTAAAAAGCCGAAGATATCCGATGAATTATGTATTAATGGTGTTCAAGGAAAAGGAAACAGTCAAAGCTACGTCTACTGTGGAGATGTTTAAACTTATTGGTGAGAAGTGAGAGAGAAGTGTGCCGCGTAGGGGAAATTGAAGAAAAAATTAATAATTATCACCGTAAAGAGCAAAGGGAAAAATACGAGTTGTAAATAAGGTTTTTTTCGGGGAAAAAAACTACGAGAGAGATGATCACCAGCTTTATCATCGGCTGGCAGCTTGCACGACCGATTGAAGTAGCTTGGAAATCCGGAGAGCAAATCATTTCTTTGTACATAATGGATTACATTTAAAGAGTGTACATAGTACCAATTGTAAGCCAAAGTCAAGCCATGATCAGGTGTATACGATTTCTACAGGGACGACACGTGTCAAACAAAATTAATCGATCATTGCATTTCATTTTCGAGCATGTAAATAACGTAAGGAGTATCCAACATCTGACCTTTTGACGATAAACTTTTATCTAATGTTTCTTATTAGCATGGTTTTTTTCGTTTCACTTCTTTTCTCCTTCAGCTCTGTTCAGGTCAGGCTTGAGAATATTGGAATGTTTAACTTGAGTATTCGGTCATATTTCGCCTAGGAGAAGTTGTAATTATTCGTGCTATCTATTCGATACAACTCACTCATCCATGTTCTCCAATTTGGACGTGCGTACATGCTCTTACGTCCATATATTTCAATTTATCAGTCGACCTTGACGCAGCACGCCTGCAATTATTACTCGTCCACGTCGTATCTTTTCTTACTATTTTGATTATGGCTTGACTTTGCCAGTCGATATACTTGTCATACAACTCTGAAATTCAAATCACTGCTTGCAGAAAAATTTATTTTCGTTTTGTTTTCCTTCACTTCATCCTAGAGACGCTGACGAAGTCTCCTATGTTCTTTCCTTTTCTTTCTTTGTTTTATTTTTATCCCAATAGGATTTGATTTTTTTATAACACTGTGATTGAGAGTCAGAGGTTGTAAAATTGACTAGTTTTATACAATTATTTTTATAAATAACTGGTTGGTGGTAATTTTGCAACGGGAATCTCATGTACATTGTGCACGGATGGCTAACACTTCTTTTCGTTTCTTTTCGCCGTTTCTGTTACGTACGACGACTAAAAGTAATGGCGAAGAAGTAACATGTGAAAAGTGCCATCGAACTGCATTGAAGCACATGGTTCCCGAACTGTTTCTTTAACACCGAAATCATACATTTGCACACGTCGAAATTTCCGCTGCGACGTGAACGGACTAACATCAGTGCTGGAATCTAAAAATTTTCCTAGAGATATGGGTAAATTTGCTGCGCGACTCATACTCGCCACGTATAGCTTTTTAAGTATTGTGAAAGTGACCACCAGCCAATGTGACCTAGGTTTATGGAATGATTCGTACACAACAAATAGGCAATAGGAAATCGCTTCGTGATGCTGAAGTCAAGGATTAACACGAGTCGGAATGCGGAATATCGTTACTATGTCCATTAAGTTGTCTGGAATGCATAAATAAATTTAGTTGAAATTCGGAAAGAGGTTATGTAAATATCTACTTTGAATGGAGTCGGCTCGATGTTTAACGTGCTGTCACTCGTACAAGTTCATAAATGCTTAAAACGCATCGATAGGAAAAAGAAAAGGAGAAGAAGTCCCTAATTAAGAACCAAAATCGAGTTTCGTATCTAATTACTTTTTAATTTTGTGATACGGTATTGCCTTTATCGATCGAGCATTAGCTCAAACTTACAAAATCGGAAAACTGCAATTGTTATTATCTTTTACACAATTTATCTGAAGAACTAAAGTATGTAAAAAACGTAATAAAGTGATTAGAAAATATTCAATTACAAACTCACCAAATGTTATTAAACTAATTTTGAATGGTGTATTTAATAGTTGATTTCTATATCTTCTATTTTCATACAAAGACTTTGAATGTCATGACATAGAAAATGTAAAGTTTCAGTAGTTACAAATCTATAAATTTATCAAAAGGTATAGGTTTTGTAATTATGAACATGCTCCTTTTACATTTCATCAAATTATTTTCCATGTTTGATTAACACGGGTGACTTTTTTATGTTTCTTTTTGAAAATGTTAATAATGTTACAGCCCAGTAATGTGTGAATATATAAATGAGAATTTTTTGAAGCTTGTCGTCTAAATAAAATTACTATATCCTGATTCGTGCATATAGAATAACTTGGATATATACATTATCCAAAAACGTGTCTAATAGATTACTTAAATATGAAGAGCATTAAATGTATTAATATACATATAATTGAATCGCAGTAGAATCAAAAATGTACGTAACAAGGTCTATTTCTCGATATGTATGAATGATTCAATTAAATTATTTCAGCTAATATGAACTGTAGAATGTCGAACATTTTGGGCGAATGCGGACAGATTACAATCGATTTAAGGAAACGGCCCCTTTGTAATTTCAATAAGTTAACTATTCTATTACGACAGGTTTGGACTCGACAGAAGTGGACGAACAGAATTATATTGCTAAATTAATTTCGGCAAACTGAACAGTTAGACATATTAGAATTTAAATAAAAAAATGCATATGTATTAAAAAGTAGCGCGTACACTTCAATAATTAATTTTAACACTATTTAAAAACTTAACATATTTTCATGATAACCTTTTAAAACGTACAGTGCAATTGAATGCGTAATAGAAACATTACTTGCGTGTACAAAAGAAACATCTTAAACACTTTTAAAAATTGCCTTCCTGCATTCTACATTGGCGTATATTACACTATTTTTATATCACTGCTTTACATATATAACATCCCATTTAGTTGCATACCAGCAAATTTGATTTGATATATCAGATATAATAATATTTTTCACGATATATGTATGATATGACAAAAGAATAAACAATTATTTTTAGCGGTAATTCTTCATCAATTTCGGTTATTGTATACATTGGTTAACCTACATTTAGTTAAACCTTTTCAATTGGGGGATTATTGTACATATTTTTACTTCACTTTTTAATTGAATTTCTACTTGTTAATCTGATAAAAACATGCAATATTATTTTTAAATTGCACACCATAGGATCGGTAAAAGTTCCGAACGGGATTTTTATGAATGAAAGATGTGGAAATAACGAAAATAACATACTTTATATTTAACTTCAGGACGGCAATATCATTACGTGATTTTGTTGATCCCGACAAACGACGATATTAGGGAAGATATTAATTAGTATTACATTAATTGATATCTTCTGAGTTAATCAAGTACTGAAGGAACACATTAAAAGATTGCTACTAGCACTTTGCAGGCGAACATTAAGTAACTTTGCATGTACTTATTTTGTGCTGTTTCATTAGAACATCACTTTTACTCAAACCAAAAAACATTCCCATTCTGGTTTTCATAATGAATGCAGGGTTGTAATGATTTCGTGATTTGAAATATTGCGACACTTAAGAGTCGAACGAAACCAAGATGCGTAAGAATAAATTGTAAGACTGAAAGCAGGCGAGTATAACCGCATTAAATACTGTTATACACAGTTAAGAGAATACAGTAACTAGACATTTCTTAAGTCTTACATTTAAGATTTCGTTATGGCAGGTTCATAAAGGACCCGTACCAGGAACACACAATTTAATTAACAAGTTTCATTAAAAGGAATCCATGAAGACATTATTGAAAGGGTTTCTTGAAATTTTGAATCGGGATTTGCTGAATTACTTAAATTACGTTTTTTACATGCTTTTCCCTTTAAAAGTATAAAATATATTAAATGAAAAATGCAGAAAATGAGCTGACTCTCGTTTATCGCACACCTATAATTATTTCATTTCTAATTAATAATATCGGCGACCGCAAATTCAACTTCAGTTTTCTTCCTCTCCAGTATTCGATCATATTGATAGAAGAATAAACCAGAAATTTAGTGAAGCTGATTTTCTTTCACTCTTGTATAGGCCTTAAATAATGAACTCTTTCACTAAATGAGTAATTAGAAAATCATTTTCGATAATTAATACTGCATCTAGAGCAACTTATTGGACAAGGATACAAATGCACGATTTCCCATGAACAGCGTTTTTCACGAATTTTTCTGTAACGTGTAGATATACATAGTTCTCTATGAATAAATTAGTACGACACATCGGGTGTTCAGCGAATGTAATCGCAGGAACACCTTTCCTAAGTTAATTCAACAATTAAGTGCTGTAAATCGTCACAATCGATCAATATCCGAGATAGGTAGTTGTTAAACAATTTTTTAATCAAACCCATTACCATTGTGCTTTCAGTACCAAGTAATATTTAAGTACGACGTTACTATCTATAATGGTAACACGACGGTAACACACTATCTGTCTATACTGGAGATACACGATACGAAATAGATAGATAGCCGTGGTACGTTAAAATAATACTTGTCGCCGAACAATAATTATGCATTAAAAACTCTCCCACAAAGGTAGTGTTTGATATTAAAAATGTCTAGGATCTACTTATCTCGAGTTATTCCAGCGTTAACTTTTTTTTTTATTTTTTTTTCAAGATCGATTGTTTGCGGAGAATGTTCATCGTAGTACCAAAGCGGAATGTGTATTACGATGGACTCCACGCACATGGTGAACTCTATCATGTAATTATTTAAAAAATCAACAAGTTGTTCCTTAAGACGATTAGTTTGGCTAGGTTCCATGAATTGCTAATCTGTAATTACTGTGCGTTGTTATTATTCAAAAATAAGAACAGGTTGTGTTGCATGTTTAAAAGTATGTATAAGACCAATTTTGTGATATTTGCATATGCGGGGAAATGAGAAAAACTAGGGAATAAAAGCATTTCCTGATCGGTGTCCAAACTATATGTGTCATAAAGCTGCAAGTATAAAAAATCATCAGATCTGAATATGATTAAACAGTCAGGTTTTGCACATTGCAACAAACTTGTCAGATAAAAAGTCGTAATAGACATTTACTAAGAAAATATGTGCAAGTATTTACGGGAATCGAAGACTGCTAAGCAAAATAAACGTGACATTATCATTTCACCAAATTCTTGCTATTCAATGCATGTATGAAGTTTATACTTGTTTGCAGTTTAAATCTATGTCGAAGAGTTTAACACTTTGCAGTCCGCCGCGCCAACGGCATGGGGTCGTCGTGGTGTAAGAACTTATAATGAAAACAAATCAAGTCTAATATTAATAGGAGCTTTTATATTGACATTCATTTATAGCAAATATGTGCGGCCAAGTAGAATCGTAGGATCTGTATGCTTAAGCCAGCGAGCGCTATAGAGTAGTTCTTACAGCAGACCATTAAGTGTTAAAATGAATGGTATGTCACACATCTAGTAAATGGTCGTAAAGTGCAGTAGGAACTGAACATGCAGTATTAACTGAAATTTATGTATCTCTGAAAAAGCCATTAACAATATTAGTCTCCAACTAGAGTTCGTTTTTCATCGCTTTAGATATAATCGGACTCTAGCGATTCTAATAGAATGAGCTTTAAAAAATGGATGAAAAATGAAATCGCAAAATGCTTGAAATAGTAGCAAATTGAATTGTTTTTTTTTTTCCCAATAAAATGTCATATTGGACTGTCGTAAATACCAATATTTCTTATTTTTTTTGCCTGCTTAAATATTGTGTTTACTAGATTGTTTTGTTTAGATTCTATAATGTATTATAATACATTACGAAATGTATCCTTGTGGATTATACAAAATTTGTTTCAATATACTTATCTTCACGGCTAGATACATATTTTTAATAACTACTTCGCCTTTATAGAAGAAAAAATCGCCTATTACGAAAGTTGAGTATTTTTTGAATGTATCGAAAATATTACAAGTCAATAAACATCGACACTACGAAAAAGCAGTGCAGCAGCAGATAGCACACATTTTATCAACATGTTTACTCAGAATTAGTAATGTTAAATTCAGAAAAAAATTACGCTTCAAAATGAAATCGCAAAAACAATTACTCTGACGAAAAAAGGCGCAAATAATACTTTTTGTGTTTAACTGAAACCGTTTCACTATCAATGACACCTTACGACCATTTACGTTTTCAAAAAAATGACGTGCTGTAATTACAATTTCCCATCCATGAAAAATGGTGATAAATATGGTGGAATGATAATTTTGTGAGAATTCGATCGTCTTGTACTACTTTTCACATAATGGCTGGCAAAACAACCGTCACATAGGCTGTGTATTGATCAGTTTGAAGCTGGACATTTTTTCTGTATATATGAACCTGTCTAAGAAACACAGTGTCCATCATTGCCGTCGAATAGGTTAATACATATAGTTTGGCCGATTATTTACGTGCGTTAACACATTGTTGACCGGTCACGAGTTAATTCGTGCCGGAACGACTAGCGTAAAATTGCCGGTCATCAATGAGTTAATACTCGCTTTAGTACTGGAGGTTTTTATTTTACTTCTAATTGTATAATTACAAAACAAAACAACGCATCATATCAGAGGAAATAGTCTAAAATTCTTGTTATATTTTTTATTACCACATAACTTGGTATTTACATTTCATATATCAAGGACAATTAGAAATGATTTCTTTTACTACAATTTACTTCACGTCTCATATGCCCAATTTCACTAAATTCAACCCTTGTACTTATGAGAGTACCACTTATATCTTAACATTATTCTTCAGATGTATCAGTATCTCTGCTCTTATTTGAAAATAATTTGATAATTAAATATTGAACCAAAATATCATAACGATTACACTTGGTAAGCAAAGCAACATATCTCCTGTTTCGCCCAGTCATGGACATATTTATTTTTATTTTTCTAAACCTTTTTCGTAGCTAGCGTCTTCAGGAACATCTTGTTTTTATAACAGGTGGAGATAGGCAGTTGTTACATATTCATACAAATTATACATGTCTTTAATTTCTTTAAAATTTGTATTTTATTCCCACATACTGTGCAAATACACTAGTACCATTACTACCATGCATTACAAATGTAATATACTTAATTGTAATGGTAGGGTGTCGTAATAAAGGTAATGGTGTATTTGATGAAGACTTCGTCATCTAAAAGTGCAACATTAAAATATTTTAGTCTATTATAATGTTTTTGCAACAATGGTATGTGACAACTGTCCATTTCTAACTCCTAGCGACCGAGCGTAAGAAATCCCGATCTTACGAATTAAGAGAGATGTGGATTGGCGATTACAAAATTCGTTAAAATATAGCGTTATTCGGTACGCTTATTTAAATGGCTTAAATTTCTTATATATGATTTTTACGCCATTCAATCCGTTGGCGATGAAGATCGCTTGTCTTCATTCGTTCCATTTATTCGATAAATCAGGTCTTGATTGGTCGGACGAGGCCTGTCTTATTTCAACTGCCTTCATTTCCCTTCTTTCGTGTTCTATGTTAAGGTTGTCCGTATGTGTGGGACAAATGTGACAACGGCATAGTAAAAAATAAGATGTACTGTACTTCAGTGCTCATAACTGAGTCCTTCGGACTTTCAAAGCCAAAAAAGAATGCATTTTTGAAGTTGCATTCTTAATGAAGGACTCCACTATCTGAAATGTCACTATTATTTATACCATGTCTTATATTGAACTGAATACTAACGATCTTTAGAGATTAATCTCAATGATTTGAAGTTGGCTACATTTACCAGAATTTATCAACTAATAATTGGCTTCAAAATGCAGGGTGATTTTATTCATTGAAATCTACGAAATCCGTATTTCAATTTCAAAAACTGATGTCAATATCAATAATGGCATTCTAATTTGATTAAATAGCAGGTTTTTGCTAACCGGTAGAAAGTTCTATAAAGCAGCTTACTATATTTATTAAAATATTTTTTTGAATTCGTGCTTAACCGGCTTTACTCAATAAAAAACTTAAACCACTTTTGTACTTTACACGTTAAACTTATGCGCACGTATTAATAAAAGGCTTATTTTAGTTACATGTGATGGTGTAACAATATAAATAATTTTTAATAACATTTAGAAGTTATACATGCATCTTTGTGGAAGTTAACCCTTAGTTGGCACACTGGGGTACCAGAGGGCCCAAGCAAGATAAACCTCAATTTAAGTCCCATTATAATTTGAAAATGGTACTTGTGATGTCATATAAAAAAATGGTGGAGTTTTGAAATTTTAAGTGGGTCGTCATTTTTCGTTTTTTTTTACTTTCAGCCTTTTTTCTCCATAGTCAACATTGAATTTGAACAAAATAACCTATCGCACCTGGTAAAGGAAGTATCAAAGCATATATATGAAAATTTGTACAAGTCAAAAAAATCAATTGCTTCTTCACAACAAGCATTTTCATGCTTGGGGTCTCAAGCGGGATCTCAAACTTTGTGTGCTAGTTACGTTTCGCCTGGAGATGTGTGCCAAATAAGGATTGAGGGAATATGAAAGTGGCATTCGAGGGATCAATCGTTCATGAAACATTTCTCTGAACTGGGTATACCTAATTTCAAACTTTAAACCGTGAATATAAAGGCTTTAAAGAGGGTCCTGACCCTCATGAGATTTCATATTTTATACAAAATTTTCTAAATAACTAAGAACAAATTTTTAAAAAATTGAAATTTCATGAGTGTCAGAACCTCCCTTATAGCCTCCATATTCACATTGTAAACTTTGAAACGATTCGTTACACCCAATTCAGAGAAAAGTTTCATAAACGAGGCTTCTTTGACGCCACTTTCACATCACCTTAATGGTGACGTTGTTCTCAATATTGTACTGGATTCCCTTCAGTAATCTTCGCATATTAACTTCGAAACCATATAGTTTCAGCAATTCTTGTAACAAATGCTGCCATCACGTGTAATTTTGTTAAGTCTGTTCCATAACTGTGTTAGTACCACTGAAATGTATAATATACTGGAATGCTCACCACGATTATATACAGACGGTTAGCTTGTTCCAGGGGGGATATAGATCTGGCCGAATTTTGCTGCACAGAGTTCAATAAGCGTTTCTACGAGGAAGAGAAATTCCTCTCTCCGGTATTCCACTCTCAGAGAAAATATACCTATACTTATTTAAGTGATGCGTATGTATCCGTTGATACCGTCCGAAAGAAAACTTTAGTATCGTTCAGAATTGGCTTTCTGCAGTGGTAATGCACACTTAATTTGTAATAGGGTTGTACTCTGAACAATGGGAATGACTTCAAGGCCAACTGAAGCCAACTTCGCTGGCGAGCGTTCTAAGTTACTATATGTTTCAGTGATTAGTACCAAGAGCGATTATAATAGTTTGCTTTTAAGGGGATGTGAAAGTGGCATCCGAAAGGTCAATCGTTCATGAAACTTTTCTACAAACTGGGTGCACTGAATCGTTTTAAACTTTACAACGTGGATGTGGAGGCTCTTAGGTAGGTCCTGAAACTCATTTTTTTACAAAAAATGTTGAAAACATCTGTAAACAAGTATTTTAAAAATTAAAATGTTATGGGTATTAAGACCTTCTTTATAGCTCCCATATTCGCATTGTCAAACTTGAATCGATACGGTACACTCAGTTCGGAGAAAAGTTTCATAAATAAGACCTCTTCACGCCACTTTCACATCATCTTAAAAGGAACGAGCATCTTCAGTCACCAGACAGAAATGTGCATTACAAGTTATAATGGAAATTGACGTACCGTAAGAGTATTTTTCGTTTTGTCTCTGTATGTTGAAAGGGTTAATTATTTGCACATTCGTAATTATCCGTTTGTAACTACAAAATCATCTCGTATTCAATACTACAAAACTCTGGATTTATTGCCAACTCCGTTTGCATCGGATTTATGAGTTGTTTTAGTTTTGAACCTCTTTTCATACGAAAAGTCATCTATCTATCTAATTCAGATATCTTTCTAAGTGATTTGTAAACATTGAAAGCTGATTATTATTCCATCATAATGGACCAAGATTTGATTCAACGATAATATCTGGATTGATAAAAAACATCGTTGGCTAGATCTGTCATAGAATATATAAATTCTGGTAAATTATGATAAATTTATAACTACTAAATTTCCACGTTATTTAATATTAAAACATTTTCTTCTTATATTGAGTTTAAATTTTCATATAATTTTACGCTAATATTTTTCTACAGTTTCTGTTATCGCTGAATTACAAGTCCCGCCTCGCGGACAGCCTTTTTTGCATGTACCAGCAGATTTGTTCCCATTCTATCCACTAGCAGCACTGGTGCGAAAAATACATTTTGATCCGTTACTTGAAGGTAGTTACATATCAGAATTTATAATTATACAAAAGTGCTGAAAGTGCATGTAATGTGAACAAATCTAGCGTTTTGCGCTTGTAGAAAAAGCGATTTAAGAAAACATCTTAGAATTAAAAATGTTATGAAGGTTGAAAGATTAGTTCTATTTTGTTGGAATGAAACTTGATACAAAAAAGCAGGAACGAAAGAAAATTTAAGTCTACGCGGCCTGCTCCGCCATAGTACATTTTTTGTGATGTTATTACATTATATTAGGAGGATCAGGAAGAAATCCATTATTTTTTATCTTAGTAGTAAGTATAAAAAATAATGGATTTCTTTCCGGTCCCCCTAGTATGAGTCAGGGTACGTTCGCTTGAGTAAGACTCCTTTATTAATCATTCCCTATCATTTCTTAAGGTTGATTATGATTTCTCATGGTATATTTCTGTTTTCAATGCAGCTTTTCATAGTACATGTAGACATTGTCATGATGGCTCTTTTTTGCATATAAAATGAAAAGAGAGGTTATTTTGAATCTCGCAGTTGGAAGAAACGCGCTATGGTGTGATCAGTCTTCTTGAGTTACCACATCCTCTTAATAAAATGCATTATTGCATGTTACTTTCTAATATCTGAATAGAATAAATGTCTCTAACACAATACAACTTACCAAATTAATTGCTATTTCAAACTAAACGATATTAACAGCTGAATGAGAGAGTAATAGAGATTAACCTTCTAATTGCCTGATTGTGGAAGAGTGGTACGAAAATCTATCCTGCCACCTAAATTATAAGTTCTATTTATGTCTTCAATATAGCTAGTTTTGTTCAAAACCACAAAGGCGTTTTTTTAGAAACTCCAATGAAGTATATGTCCTTTATTTTTATTTACATATTCATACATCATCAAAATATTCAGTAGAATTCTATAGTTTATACTTTTTGCACTTTCAAACATGAGATAATTTGACAGAATAAGTTGTCTCTTTTCCTTTGGAAAACGAGAGCATGGATCTATAAAGAAATTCGTACGTAAGACCCTTTACAGTACTTTTATGTCACCGCGTATGTAAAACAGTATCTCCAACTGACGAGTCTAAAAATACTCTCTAATGATTCCATGATAACAATTGTTATTGTAATGCATTATTAAGAAATCTCTCAGTCTGCATAAGCTTTGTGATCAGAAACGATCTGTAACAGTGTGTAGAATGTAATTCGAATCTCTAAATTTGTTGAACATATTAAGGGGATGTGAAGGTGACCTCTGAAAGGTCAATCGTTCGTGAAACTTTTTTCCGAACTGGGTGTACCGAATCGTTTCAAACTTTACAGCATGAATATAGAGACTATAAGGAAGATCCTGGCACTTATAAAATTTCATATTTTATAAAAAATTTTAAAAACATCTATAAACAAATTAAAACAAAAAATGACATTTCATGAGCGTTAGGACTTTCCTTATAGTCTCCATATTCATGTTGTAAACTTTGCAACGATTTGATACATCCAGTTTAGAGAAAAGTTTAATAAAGGATAACTCTGTGTCGCCATTTTCACATCACCTTCAGTTACCGCAGGGCAAACCATATATTGAATACATAGTCGAGGAGCGTGATTCAAAATAAAAGAACGAGTTTCCTATAATATCGCCCACGCAAGACTAGGTGTATACGATTGCTTCTGATCATATTTAGTCTCGCATGAATGAATTTAAGAATGTTTTCCTTTTCCATATTGTTTGCTAAATAGTTGTAACGTATGTCAAATTCGTCGATCATAACGTTGGAGTTTTTCTTAAGAACATTCCCTGAAATTTCGTCATTACCTATTATAATTGAAAGCGAATAAAATTGCGGTACATACAGCGAGCGATGTCGAAGTAGCGAATCATTTTGCTTTAAGTGAAGAGGAAAATGGAGAATATTGAACATTAAAAAAAGAGCATTGGCTTCCAATGAAATCTCAAATAATACGAAGAAATGGCAATCATTCTGATTTTTAAATTTCCATCATCTTTCATTGCCATAAATAATTTACTATGCTCAAAATGATACCAATACGTAATTTACCCGAGACATTGCAGATCTTTAAAAATCGAACAGATTACTGTTTCCT